TTGCTGAAGGCTAGCACTCTACCCTGTGAGCCACAGCCGCATTTCTGGCTTGTTTCATGTGGTACTGAGGAACTGAATCCAGGGCTTCATGCATGCTAGGCAAGCACTCTACCACTAAGCCACATTCCCAGCCTTGCATCTAGTTTTGACTGCTTACAGGTTTTTTTTTTCCTCTTCCTCTCCCTCCTCCTCCTCCTCCTCCTCATCTCCTCTTCCTCTTCTTCCTCCTCCTTCTCTCTCACTCTCCCCTCCCCCCACTCACACACACACAACACTGAATAGTTAGTATTACAGGCATCAGCTACCAACAACTGGCTACAACATTATTTTGAAATTTTTCAAGTTTCAGTTATTCACAATAAAGTCAAACTTCTAAATCTGATTTTTAAAATTATAATGAAAAAATACAAATAAGTAGTTTGTTAAAGTATTAGGAAGTTTAATCTTAAGAACAGAGCAATTTTAGCAATTAGAATTTCTTTTTTTGTTGTTGTTGCTTTTTTTTGGGTCCGGTCGTGGGGCCTGAACTCTAGGCCTGGCCACTATCCCCTCAGCTCTTCAGCTCAAGGCTAGAGCTCTACCACCTGAGCCACAGCGACACTTCCGGCTTTTTTTCTTTTTGCTTATGTGGTGCTGAGGAATCAAACCCAGGGCCTCAGGCATGCAAGGCAAGCGCTCTACCACTGAGCCACCTTCCCAGCCCAGCAATGAGAATTTCTGAGAAACAGTTTAGTATGTGTTGCAAAGACTTCTGGACTACTTTTATAATCTTGGATGAAATTATTTTAAAATGCAGTTGCAAATCCTCATGCTGTGGATGAAAGTGCCTGCTGAACTCAATTATCATGACCTAAAAAAGCAGGTGTCCTTGAAGAGGACACCTTCGTTTCCAGGTGAAGAGGCTAGATCATGATTTTTCCAAGTCTTCTACAAGCCTACTGCTTGATCTACCCTACCTTAAAAAGACTTGGGATGTTAGAAAAATGTTTTTTTTTTCTTCAACAAAAGCTTTCTTATTTTTGTCCTAGAGTCTTGTATCTTATATTTGAGGTTACAGTAGACTAAAGTGGCATTCAGACTAAAGTGGCACTGATACGAACTTTTCTGAATTCAAACAAGCTAGCTGGTTGCATTTGAGTACTTTTGGTCTTCCAGACCTTCATATAGAAGCAAGATATTTAATACAGAGTTTGATGCTCTGCTTATGAAAATGAACTAGTCACTTTTGGAAGGAAGCTAGCTTACTCACTGGGCACCGTGTGGAGGAAAGGTATAGAAAGTGAGCAGAGTAAGGCCTGCCCCTGTGACATGCACAGTCTAACTTGGAGGAGACACATCATAAACTTGGATACAGTGTGAGGCAAAAAAATTAAGAACTTAGTGTCTCAAGGCAGATGACATAAGTTTGAATCCCAACTCTCCTACATTATTAGCTGTATGGAATTGGGTAAATCATTTAACTTCTCCTGCTTCAATTTCTTCATCTATAGACTAAGAAAGATAACATTATGTCATAGGGCTGTTATGAGGATTTAAAGGGCTGGGTGAAGTAGGTCATACCTGTAATCCTAGCTACTTGGGAGGTGGAAGGACCCTGCTTTGAGGTCAACCTGGGCAAAAAGTTAATGAGACTCTGTTTCATCCAATAAGCTAGCATGGTGCTTCCTGCCTATAATCCTAACAATGTGGACCTTAAGTAGTACAATCATTTGGCCTGAGGAAAACCATGAACAAATAAGGTAAAAAGGCCTATATATTGTGTCTCAACCAAGAACCAAGTTCCAACTCACAAAAAAAGAAAAAGAAAAGAATAACTGGCACATAGTGTTAATTGTTTACTGTAATTGTTGATGCTACTATCACTGCATAGTAGTATACATAAATACAAAATGAGGAAAATGGATATAAAATAAGAATACCACATCATCAGATCACAATTTATCACTGTCCTATGCCCCACCTCCTCACCTCCAATGATGCTATAGTGCTCTAGTTTCTGTCCAACCCTTCTTAGCATGCTTCTGCTCTCTCTTTTCTAAGAGCCCTTGTCACATCTCTTTAGAATCACCATGTGTACACTGTATGTCTTCTTGCTTTCTCAAGTAAGAAGACAGCTTAAGACTTTATTAGTTCACACTCACTGCTGTTATACATGAGATCATGTTTTCTGTTTCACTCATATCTTCTCTAGACTGCAAAGTACTTATATCATCCCTGACTAGCACTTGGAGGGGCTCAGTGAACACTTGTTGATTTACCTAAAGGTTTCAGATATAGCTTTCACTGCCATAAGCAAGGGGTTGGCAAATTTATTTCTGTAACAGGCCAGATAGTAAATATTTTTCACTTTGTAGCCCATATGGTCTCTGTAGCAATTGTCAAAAATGCTCAGTTCTGCCACCAGAGTATGACAGCAGCCATACCCAACACATAAGCAAATGGCCATGGCCACATTCCAATAAAACTTTATTTACAAAAACAGACTGAGGGCTATAGTTCTCTAACACTTGGCATAGATATTCATGTGTGATTCAAAATTACAAACTAGACCAGCTAAAGTAAGATCCAGTTGTGGTTTAAAAAACTCCAAAAGCCCAAGCTGTCTCCCTCAAGAGATTGCCAGCAGACAGAAGGCATGTGTTAATACACCAAGAGAGTTAGGGCCATGATTCTCCACCTCCAACCTTTAATCCCCCACAATTTAGGTAAGTACTCAGCTTACTGAAGTAAACAAAGCTCTTGCTATTACTATTAGGCTATTATTGTTTCCTTCCTTGGTAGTTTACTCTTTTTACAGCTTGAATTACAAAGTTGATAATGACAATTAACTCACCAAAGAAGCAAAGCAATTTTTAGCTTTGCCAATCTGAGTGAACATTTCCTAATTTGAATCCTCCCATTTTCAATTAACTGATACTCACATCACATTTATCCATAAACAAAAGGGGGAAAAAGTAATTTCTCTAATGTCCACCTGGGAAAGACAACTGTAATCTGGATTTGCACATTTAAATATAATGTGGTTTAATTATTAGAACAATTTAAAGCTACTAAGAACATGATGTGTAGTTGGCAAGTTGTTTCATTGATGGTTTTTCTTTTTAAATCACAGTGTTTCATATCTTTCAAGGGCTGAATCCAGCATTCAGCAGGGCTTTGTTAACTAGAGATGGCTCACCAATCTCATCTAAGGAGAGCCCAGAAGGAAATTTAGGTTTCCGAAAACACCTAAGGTGACTTCAAGGTCAATCTTTTTTCCCCCCAACTTTTCTTAGAAAACAAATAAACAAACCAAAAAAAACAAACCCAAAGCCCTTTAAATTTTCTGATATTTAAGTGAAAGAAAAATGTTTTGCACTGATTGTGAGAAGATCCAGGATACTAGAATCTTCTAACCAAGATAATAGGTGAACAAAAAACAAAAATGAAGAGCAAGATCTACGGTTCTATCCAGACTAAAATTGTCTTTTTACACTACATAAATAAAGGCTATTGAAATGAAAGAGGTTAACTGAATCAATCTAGAGTTCTTGTAAAAATTCATCCTAAAATTCTGCTCCAAAATATAGTAAATAAGCTTCTGCTTGCCCTTTTACCTCCCATTCTCAGAGTGATGTATAAAGCAATGAAAAATGACTTACTCAAAAGGTTCTAAGAAAAAGATTTTCCTCTACCTTTTATTGGCAAATTTAGTTCAATGAAACTAACATACTAATAATAATATCAAAATATACAGGTAGAAATTCTAAAAAGAATTGCCAGCAAAAGTCATTCAGTGATCCATAAATAAAATCTGGCTATATCAGTAATTTAATTTCTTTTTATTTTTTTTTGTCAGTCCTGGGGCTTGAACTCAGGACCTGGGCACTGTACCTGTTGAGCCACAGAGCTACTTCTGGCCTTTGTATGTGGTACTCAGGGATCGAACCCAGGGCTTCATGCATGCTAGGCAAGCACTCTACCCCTTAGCCACATTCCCAGCCAGTAATTTAAAATTGATCTAGTAACAAAACTGATTTGTACTTCTGGGAAAAAACAGTCTTACTGATGGATGCCTTGGCATACATTAGGACAATTAAACTGTGTGAAAAAAAATAGCCAATATGTTATAAAGTGTCATATAACTATAGGTCTAAACTTCAAAATGAAGAAGTTTTGTAGTCAGAATAAAGGAGGATACTTTTAGGAGAGGAACCCTCTGAACATTTAATACTATTTATCAAAACAAATTCCAGGAAATGAAAAACATAGGGTGGTGTTGCTTTTTTTTTTTTTTTTGTCTTTTTAGGAGGGCAAAAGGGAGGTGCAGAAATGGAGGGAAGAAGGGTACACAAATGCAGTCATAGTACAGTATATTCAGTATATACTATATGGAAAATGAACTATGTAACTTGGGGGCAGGGACGTGAGAGAGAAACTGGTGGAAAGCAAAGGAAGGGGTGACATTGCCCAAAGGAATTGTACTCATTACCTGACTTACGAAATGGTAACCTCTCTGTTCAACACCCTAACAAAATTATATTTTGTAAAACTGAGGCGGTTTTGGCATGATGGCGTATACCAGTAATCCCAGTTACTCTAGAGGTATAAAATGGGGGGGAGGGTGGTGATGATGAGAGTGTGAGGCCAGCCCTAGGCAAAAATGCAAGATTCTATTTGAAAGGGCTGGAGACCTGGCTTAAGTGATAAAATACCTGTCTAGATAAAGGTAATGAGTTCAAATACCAGTACTGCCAAAAACACAAAACAAATAAACAAAACTAGTCCTCAGAAATTTCACACTTACACAAGTTAAACCAACAAGTCAGATAAGTTGATAGCTTCTCTATAAACCCTCATGGATTCTTGAGATTTAAAAATTGTTATCATGACTGGATTGACTTTGTAATTTATGATCTGCTCAGCTAAGGCTGGGGAATTAATTCAAGAACTGTACATTACCAAGTACATAAAGATAAAGATGCTGGTTTTAAATGTTATTTTTGCATAAGTTTACTTACCGCCATGTAAGCATTTGTTCCAACATACGTCTTGGCTATAGAATTCACCAGCTATGAGACAAAACAGTTTGTCAGAACAATATAAAGATAATGTGGAAATAAAATGGGCAATTATTCCTCATTTAACCTACAATCATCATTCCTACAAATCAACTAAAAATTATGTAAAAGGGAACAAATTTATCTAGAAAGGCATTAAAAATGATTAAATCTCTCTTTTCTTTTGAATGTGATTTCCAATTTAAACAAGCACAGCATTACAGTTTATAGCAGATAACCTTAAACAATTCACTTAAGCAGGATGCTTAAGCGCTTTAGTACCCCAAACCCGCCTGATATAAAAAGTCAATTTTGAAGTAGAATTTTTTAGTCAGATGGCTCAAAATGTGAATGAAGCCCCATGCATTACTAGAATGAAACGAACACTAAATACGCTGGAGGGATAACAGACTTTGACAACTCATAATACAGCAATGACCTTCGCTTTGGTCTTCATGTTTGGCTGGGAGTAAAGGTGGCTGCAATTCAAATCAACATCACAGCACGCTCATAGGTCACTATCACCGGGGTCCTCAGGGGAGGCCCAAAATGGAAATTAATTAAAATTTGTGCTGCACATTGTAATGGCCCTCCACTATTGTTGCTCCCAGTATTAATTTTTATTGTGGGCCAGTTGGGCTCCCTAGGCACAGCTCCCACTCTGCCCTCCCTTTTGTCTGGCCAAAGCGCTTTCATATCAAAGCTGCATATCAATGAAGTTTGCTATTCGGAAGTAGTAATTACAATATCAGCAGTTTTTACTGTCATTAAACAATGAACAATCATATTCTGATGAAGGAAACTCGCTTAGAGATTAAAAATGAACAACATACTCCCAGCCGAGGGAAAGAGGTAGACTTCTGTTTGTCTGGTGGCTAGGTGTTTTTTTTTTAAGCCTGAGAGCAGACTGAAAAGAAAAGGTGGACATTACAGAAGGATAACATTGTGGGAGCAAAAGAGACCTACCTGAGTGCTCACTCCAAAGTCACACAACTTGACCTGTCCTCTGGTGTTTACAAGCATATTGGAGGGCTTCACATCTAAAAAAGGACCAGAAAAAGCCACTAATTAATTCCTTAATGTTTGCTTCAAAATCTCTCCTCTCTCTCTCTCTCTCTCACAGACACACACACACACACACACACACACACACACACACACACACACACACACAAAGCCACTAATTAATTCCTTAATGCTTGCTTCAAAATCTCTCTCCTCTCTCTCTCTCTCTCACACACACACACATACTACCACTACCACCACCACTACTACCATTACCATATTGCAGAAATGATATCTGCTCACCCCAAAACTGTCATCACAAATTTACTCCAAAGTATTTCATCTGGAGACAAAAGTCCTAACTCCCATGCGCTCCTAGCCATTTCTATAGAAGTCAAGAGTTTATGTGAAGTGGAAGTCCAATTAAATATTTCAACCCATCCCTAAGTTGGAGGAAAAGTAAACATATAAGAAAATGTAATCTTGCAAAGAATTTGTATAGAAAGACTAGTTTTATTCTCTACCTGTAACCAACAAACTACCCTTACCCACCTAAGAAGTAGTAAGGTCACAGCAAAGCCAACAAGAAACAGAACTAATCATATGTGCTTTTAACAGCAGAATGAAACAAAGAACACACACACACACATACACACACACAATTTCCTGTATTGTACATTTCAAATGCTACTTCAGATAATGCCAGAAACTAGCCTAAAAGGTGTGTATATGTACCATATATGCTCTGACCACTGGGTTTCATTTATTCTTTCCTTCCACAACATCATTTTTGACTGTCGTTACACTTAACAAAAGAACTGACATATTTGTTGCAAAGCTGTCAGTTGTTACATAATGACACAAAGGGTTTCTATGTAATGCCTGATGAGGGACAACAATAAACCGTTTCTGTAACTCAAGGAAGCCACAAAAACTATCCAAGCAAGACAATACCCCACACTTGTGTGGACCCACTGCAGCACTGGCTTCCACATCTCATCTCTGATGGCAAAAGTGGCCTAGGACAGACAACCAAACACATTTAAGAACATATAAGAACCCTTGAATGTAAGAAAAATCCTAATGTTTTAATGTAATATTTGAAGAAAAAAGTCTGCAAATGTGTTCATCTCTTTCCTCCCTCCCTCTTACAAAATGGTCCAAACTACCTTATCAAGAGTAGATACTTAATTCCTACTTTAAGTTCAAAGTCGATAACTAACAATTATTATTCTCTAGTCATGATGAAACAGGCTCTATGTCAGGTACTTTCTCATATATTAAATCATTTAGTGTTGCCTTGACTAATGCTAGAACAAAAGGTAGAGACTCTGACTCTTCTATTGACTACTGTATTCCTAGTGCCCAAAAGAGTGGCAGGTAGCCAGGTGCAGTGGTGCTGCCTAAGAGGTGGAGATGGGAGTATCATTGTATGAAGCTAATTGGGGAAGAAAGTTAATGAGAACCTGTCTCTAAAAATAAGTAAGATATAGTAGTCACATGCATGTGACACAAGCTCTACTCTACTGAAGGAGGAAATGGGAGGATCAAGCTCTGACTCTGGTATTAGGCAGAAATGTAAGATCCTACCTAAAAAATAAAAAAAAAATGAATGAGTTATAAATGAATGGAGGTTAGAAGCACACAGTATTTGTCTGTGAATCTGCTTCAGCAATGAGGGGTTAACATGCATTTCAGATATCACACACTGTAACCTCAGGCAGAGGCTCTCAACTTTGATTTCAAGTTGCTTTGTCTAGACAAGGTAGCTGTTTAACCAAGTGTTCTCTCAAAATTTCTTGAATTGCTATATATTTTTATAGTACTACATATTAAACATTAAATATACCACTTTTACTACATGATTTTTCTCCATAAAAAGGAAGCTACATATTCCCCAAATGCATCTCTACTCAAAAAAAGGGTTATAGCTGGGCATGGTGGTGCCCAATGCTGAGGTGTCCATTTGAACACAATATCCCTTTAAACAAAGCCAATGAATTCATTGGGGGAGACAAGAGAATCTGTGTTTGTTTCAGTCTTTTTGATTTCTCTTTTTGGTACCGTTCAGGGCTTGAAGTTGACCTGGGAGGTGTCCTTAGCCTTTTTCATTCAAGGCTAGCACTTTCCCATTTGAGCCACAGCTCTACTTCTGTTTTTATTTTTGTTTTTTGGGTTTTTTTGGTGATTAATTGGACATAAGAGTTTTGCAGACTTTTCTTGCTGGGCTGGCTTCAAACCTCAGTCTCTAATAGGATTACAGGTATGAGCTACCAGTACCCTTCTTTGTTTCAGTCATTTTGACTCTGCCATAACTTGGGTTGTGACTTAAGGCTTAGTATTAGACATTTTTGCTTCTACTCTTTCAGAGAGATAAATTTTATATGTCAATTTCAAAGAGCAGTGAGGATTAGATGAAACAAATATAAAATTGCTTTCAAATAGTCAACAATCTGTAGAGTATTGTTATTGTCAATTGGGAATCAACCAAGCTATAAAAGTGATATTTTTCATTATGTGTAGAAAATAATTTCTATTGCTACTAAAGCAATTTAGACACTATGTTAATAGAACACCAGCTGAAAGCTCCACTTCTGTTTTTTTGTTTTTTTTTTTTCTGCTTATGTGGTGCTGAGGAATCGAACGCAGGGCCTCATGCATGCAAGGCAAGCGCTGTACCACTGAGCCACCTTCCCAGCCCCCACTTCTGTTTTTTTTGATGGTTAATCAGAGATAATAACTTTTCTGCCTGGGCAGGACCTTCAGATCCCAATCTCCTGAGTAGCCAGGATTACAGATCTGAGCCACTGGTGCCAGCTCTGTCTCTTATTTAGTGTTTTGATCTTACAACATAAGCCACCTCGAATCATGTTTAAGATGAATGGGATGTGAGTTATAATAGGATTTCATTTAAATCTGAATTCATATGTCAAAAACTGAAGCAGAGAACCCCTTTACAAGTTGAGCTAAGCATAATTGCCTTGTTTTCCTTTTATTTTGCATACAATATTCACCTTAAGGTAGAGGTTTGTTGACATATAGTATATATGTGTACACTATATATATTATATAGAATATACAGTAAATATGCTTACTAATTCTAGTTTTCATTTAAAACATGCAAATTCTACTACTCTCAAGAATAGCTTCAATGCTCATGTAATTGTAACCCCTCTGTACAGTATTTTCACAATAAAAAAAAAAGAGTAGCTTCAGGATTACTGAACTGATTTGCATTTTTTGGTTCATTTCCCAAAAGCATAGACAATGGTATACCTGACTAGGCAGAAATATTACTTTAAAGGAGACAGGCATGGCTGTTTATTTTAACACAATATCAAACTGTGGTAAACAAAGAGTAATAGACAGCATTCAGCTCATAGAGAGCCATCACAGGCTTTTTTTCTGTAAGCAAAGCACAGGAAAGATGAGTCATTAAAGTGAGTCACTATAAGTAGGAATCATCAGGGCAGATGTAAGTCATTTTGGTTTACTTCAGGCCATTAATTATTAGGGTTTATCAATTAGTTTTATTGAGGCAAGTAAGTTTAAATAAATGGTACCGCTTTGGTTTAACGGAGCCAAAGAAAATACAAATGAGGTATGCCGAAGCAGGGAACTGCAGATTCTTTTCATCCCACTCACAAGAAATATACTTCTTCTGTAAGAGCCTTTAGTGAAAAGCCAAATTAACTTTAATCTCTTTTAGCATTAAGTATGAAATACCATGCCTTGGTGTTTCCTAATTTGAAGTTGGATTTAATCCAACCTTCAAGGTAAGAAGTTAATATCATGTTGAAGAAGAGAGACAAGATACTATGCAAGTGTACCATTTTTAATATCAGATACCCTTCATTTTCTCTCATCCTAGCAATTAGTCATTATCCAATTAGACTAGGTTTGTAGATGACTCAGAATAGATCACTACTGGTCAGATCCTTTCTGGGGAAGCAGAAAGACAGGTAGGAAGTATTTTATGAATTTAATCTAAGATTCTAGAGTCAGCCTTGCCTATGGATGGTGACAAATCATGTGCTTTAGCACATGTGAATATGTATGTGCATGTGTGCTCACATGTTCAGTGATAAGTATGCACTTTCACTTGATTCACAAAACAACCTTGAATGCTCACTGACAACTGTCAGTTCACAAATATCAGCTTATAGTGACTTTCTTACACTGACAAAGTTATTATGAGAATTAAGTGAGAGTGTGGTTGGCAGTGTGCCTGGCATAGAGCTAGTGCCCAATTAGTTGTTGAATGAATCAAATGAAAGGAAAAAATATTTTGCAAGCCAGAACAGACTATGTATATTCAAGCTTTGTAGAACTGGTAATAATGACTCAAATTAGAGAAAGTCTGAATATGGATCATATATTACACTGGACCACATCCAAATGCTAAGGGCAGTTAATGTTCATGACATTGGCTCCATCTAGCTTGTCTTCTTTCAGAAAGACAAGTGCTGTTCAGTTGAGAGCACACAAGAGTTAACAATTATTTAATCACAGTATGTATCTCTTGTCACAATATGTCCTCATTTTTCCAATAAGATTTCACAGTAATAGGGGTTTTCTGATGATGATGTCACAAATCTGAATTGTAACTGCATTATCCCAAGTAAACAGATGGTTCTAATGCAGTTCTGTCCAATAAAGTGAATGCTTAGAAGAGTAAAAAAAAAAAAAAAAACAGGGAGCAGGAAGAATGTTAAGAGTTTACAAATAGGGTCTTAGATCATGCTAAAGAATAAATGTATCTTTTCTACAGGAGTCTATGCTAAACAAAGCTCAGGCTCAGAATACTCTTAAAATTAAACATGCCAGACTCCAGTGGCTCACACCTATAATCCTAGCTATGCAGATGGCTCAGATCTGGAGTGTTGTGGTTTGAAGCCAGCCGAGGCAAGGAAGTTCATGACACTCCATTTCCAAAATAAACAGACTAAGCAGGACTGAGGGTGTGATCTTGCAACAGAGTACCAGTGGAACAAGTGGCCCTGAGTTCAAACCTTGGAAATGGTCAAAACTAAAA